TCATATACTCCCCTTAATATTTCTCTCCTCTCTGGAGGAACAGTGTTGCTCATTGCACAGGAGGGAAACATCTCCTGTAAACGGGAAGAGAGGAGATGCTGCCCCTCCCTTAGCTGTGATTGTCCCCAGGAGAAGAAAATCCCCGGGCTGCAGGGCAGAGACCAGCACGCATCATGGGAGAATCTCAGGGCAATAGGAATCTGTCTGCAACACTGAAATCCCTTTGTCAGGCACTTCCTTATGAGTGATTATAGGTCTGCTGGACAACGCAGATTAACTAATCCTTTTTATTAAAGTAACAATGAGTAAATCCTCTTTCACAGCCGCACATGATTTGACTAAGTGGAATCACTTTCTTGGCAACGAGACAAATTACTGGTGCTGATTCAAATCACACTCTTCCAAGCAACTACCTAAACAAATTATGTTTTACACATTTAATGAATACATTTATTATTTAATGCATATTTTTTTTCTAAATTCATTAAAAAATTAAATAGTTCTTTGACTATTCATTAGTTTTGATAATCACTACAAAGTCCCAGCTGAGGTGCCCAAGCACTAACTGAGCAGTGCAACTACAGCAGCCTTTACAAAACCATTCGATGCAAATGCTAAGTATAACATTATAGTTGGCATATAGTTAGGTAGAGGGAAAATAGAATAAATGCCAGGCAGCTTATGAAGGCTAGATAGTTATTTAACGTGGTACAATCTTGCGGTGTCAGTTGACTTGACCAAGAAGATGTGGGGTCTGTTATGGGGAACATCCTTAAGAAACTAGAGAAGGAAAACAGAACAGGACTGAACAGGCACAGCAGTAGAAGAAGAACTGTAAAGTGGGCAAAGATGTGTGTTGGGGAGATGCTGGTGGCTTGTGCCAAAATGGAAATGCCTGAGCTGGAGGAAGGGATCTCGAGAGCTTGTCTCAATATTAATTTTATTCAATATATTCATTGGAGAAACTGGCATAAAACATTAAGAATTGGCTGGAAATAGCTGTTGTTCAAACACATAGTTAGAAAGAAAATATTGTATCTGATAACCTTCAAACCTGGAGTAACAGAAAGCAGATACAATTAAAGTTTCAAAGTGCAAAATGAGAGTAAGAGATCAGTAGCAATACACTCTGGGACCTTGTTAAGTAAAATTGCAGGAGAGGAGAAAATTGCAGGTACATCAAGAGATCGTAGCTCAATTCAGTGCCACTGGTGTGATTTGATAGCGGAAGAAGGCAAACACGACCCTCTGATGTACCAGGAGTGTTTCTTAGAGAGCAGACACTAATGCCACGGTACAAACCACCCCTTAGTCTTTACTGAAGTAGTAGAGCATCATCCTTGTCCAACAGGGATTTATTCAACCTTGAACAGGTGCTACAAGAACATGTGGGAATCAATGGAATGAAAAAACAGTAGCTCAGGAAAGGGCAAAGAGTTTAGTCTGGATTCAGGAAGGGGTAGAGAGAGGATGCAGTTATACAACACACAAAAAAAAGAAAAAGAGCTGCTGTAATGAAAGGGAAATGTTTGTCTAAGTAAAATTCCCCTAAATGATTTATGGCTATGGTTGTGGTTGGAAATTAAGAAGCAATGTTGCAGGGTGAGTGACCATAGCAGTTTAAACTTGTCTCAACCTGGGCTGTCACCTGGCTATGTTCCCTCTCCTGTGACATGCTAGTGGCACAAGCGACTTAGACCACAGCCAGATCTGCTGCCTGGGAGGCTGAGGCAGCCCTGGGGTAGATTTCAGATGCTGCGGTTTCTGAAATACGGCTTCCACATTCTTCAGGAACACATAGTGAGGACAATAAAGCAAATTTTGAGATGGATCCTCCCCCAGATGAACAAAGATGAAGTGAGTGTCTGTGGAAAGAAGTCCTTTCTAGACCTGCATTTGGCTGGACAGGAGTCAGCCACAGGGTAAACCCGGGTGAATCTAGCAGGTAGGAACGGATGCCTCCATCAGAGGAGATTCCAGCTCTCCTTCAGATGCAGCTGCAGCGGCTCCAATTTTAACAAGTTTAAGCCTTGCTCATGTCAGCAGGCAACAGAGAGAAAGCAAAACTGTTGAGTAAGGCAGTGGTGTCTGCACTTGGCATCCACATGTGCACACAGAAGGGAGGGTGAGAACACTGCTCCCGTACCCTGATGGTGGAAAGCCTGCCATCTAGGAATGTGCAAGTGCTAGGACAGATTGCACATTTAAACAGCTGTCTTTCTATATGCATTAAAGGGCTAAAATATTCCTACAGTTATAATAAGCAAAATCTGGCTTTTGCATTTCTAAATTAATTGCAGTAAGGCAGCAGGAAGGCAAACAGACAGAGCACAGAACGTGTCGTGAGCAGTGGGAAGCAGCACTAACCTGTTCCCTCTGCATTAGTGCCAGTGAAAATGCTGATGTGTGTCCTGGGGAGAAGGCTGTTTGCAGGGCTCCAAGGAGACCGTGGTGCTGTGCTACGTGGGCAGCATAGCTTAGGGAGGGTCCTTTGACTCAGACTGTGAGGGGATCTCATTAGATGTGCTGCAAAATTAATTCTCTTGGCCACCAAGGCAGAGTGAACTTTGATGCAGTTTTTAACACGGCATTGCTTCTTCCCCTTGTATTTTTATGGCTTAGAGCAAGATGTTCAAATGGCCGAATCATGTCCATTAGGTAGCTTTATCAGGCCCCTGGAAGGGTTGCTGGTGAGCAGGCTGACCCCCAGCACACTGTTGGGTTTGGCTGCATGTTTTTGGGTCGATAACGAGTTGATGCTGCATTCTCCATTCAGGAGATTTAATCAGTGGTTCTCTGAGGTGTTCAGAATTTGACATCCTTTCATTACAGCAACTGCGCCAGCTTATAGGAGGTGGGGGAAGACACTAAGTGAGTTTTAGCATTTACTAAACAAAGAGATAGGTTGAACAGAAGCGGCAGAGTAACTTTACAGTGTGCTTGTGGCCCTGTGCCTGAACAGCGATACAAACCGTATGGTATTTTCACTTACCCCTGGGCAGCATTTCTGGGACAAGGAAGCTGTGTACACAGCTATGGGATGTAGTTAATTGCATCTGGAAATATACAGTCAAAATGTTTGGGCTGTGAATTGGTTGTGGAGCATCTGACCAGAGCAGTTTGTGCCAGGCAGAGGGAGCAATTTATGGGAGTTTTTTTTCCAGCAGCAATGCCTTCTGCCATAGGGTTGTCCTCAATAAAAGGGGGAGAGGGGAAATGACAAGTCCATTGCCACGGTGTTATCAAGAGCCTTTCCAACTTCCCTCTATGAGTGGCGAAAACTTCCTTCTTTTAATCTATTTCACAGCAGAAACCCTCCCTAGGATGTGTGCGTGTAACTTGCCCTTGGAAACATTAGGAAAACTGACGTTTCATTTTCGAGATCCTGTTTCTTAAGGGGTGATCATATGCATCAGATGAGCATAGGTAATCCTATCATTTTCCTGGGGTTGTGTCAGTGGATCCATTGCACTCTCCCCACATTCTTTCATCTCCATTATTACCTCGCCTGGCTCTGTAGTGCAGACACTGTGCTGGCAAAGGCATTTGTCTATGTGTCTTGTGACCCCTTATCCTGCTGTCTTTCCTTTGTCCCCACTGCTCCTGATAAGAGTGTCCATTAAGGAAGAAGGAATTACCGCTGTCAAGTAACCGTAACACTGGAAATGTTACTACAACCTGTCGGTTTACAAAGATTCTCTACAGAAATTTATCCTAGCTCTCAAAGAAGCAAAAAAACCAACCCACTCCCAGGTCTGCAAATCACAGAAGCCCTAGGGCCTGGGTGAGCAGCACGGAGGCTGCCATCGGCCGACCCCCATTCATCCCAGAGCTGGCCCTGCTCCTCTCCGGTCCCAGGAATAAGGAAGCAAAGCCACAAGCTCAAGTGCCCCACTGTTGCTTGCCAAAGGAGCCTTCCCGAGTCCCCAGACTTAAACAGCTGTCTTCTTCACAGTCATGGTGTGAAGCAATAAACTAATGCAATTATTAGACGATAACTGCTTAAGAGACAGTGGATAGATGTATAAACCGCATTCAGTTTGTATATAAGCACTTGTATTGTACATAAACTGCTTGAGGGAATGAGCATATTTACTCTCTTTACGTGTACAGAGTCTGTGATTTTACCATACTGCTATAACATAAAGCTCAGATAACATTCACCACTACATTTTCAATAACATTATCACTATATACTGGTTAAATGAGGCTCTCAAAGTAAAAATGGCTTGTTCTGATCCTGTTGAGAGTCAGTGGGAGTACCAGGAGTAGAAGACAGAACTCCTCCCCAAGTGTCACACTCGGAGCACCTTGCAATTTTATTCCTGTCTTTTTCTGGGCTCCCAGCATTTCCTCAGCAGCACTGACTGCAATCCCAAAGGAAGACGTAACAGCACATCCCATCCCAAGTGTCATCTAACGGCAAACTGTCTCCCTGTGCCACAAACCCTCTCATTAAAACACCCCACCACTGACCCACCACAACCACTACCCCACACATCAATATTGGTATGAGCACAAGATTTCTTCACTTCTTCCCTCGCATCTGGAGAGCAGGTCACTGTCTCACTAAGAGTACTGTGGCAGCGAGTGGACTCTGGCCATTCTTTTTAGAAAATGTATGTGAAGAGGAGCTGGTGTCTTTAAGAGCTAGTATATAACTCTGCAGAGGTCTCACACCCAATGCTAAACATGACTTCCCCAAAAAGACAGCTAGTGCTGCTTTCCACACAGGAAAATTTGCAACTCGCTTCACTTTTTCAGTATTAAGAAAACCAAACTTGATTTAATAAGAGCTTTTACAGATTTTCACTTTGGAGAAACCTCACCCACACCTGCACCCTTAGCCCTGCCCCAGCTGCCGTTGCTCTGGGCAAGTCTAAAGGTTCATTTGGGTTTTCCAGAAAGTTAATTTGCTCCATATGACTGACAGCAGGCCTCTGGTAAACTTGCAAACTATGCATACAAATCAGCTGAACTCTTCATCTTTCTGTCTTCAGTGCAAGGAGTTCACCTTCCACACTGGCTACGAGGTGCTCGTACAGCGGCTGCTGGATGGGAGGAAGATGTGCAAAGATGTGGAGGATTTGCTCAAGCAGAGGTAAGAAAATCAGATTGAAAATAGTGTGAACAGCCTCTGTTTTCTCTCGTGCTTGGCATCTGGAAAGGAGCAGTAGGCTGTTTCTGAATTTGGTAGCGATACTAGCTTACACAGAAAAGCCTGAGCTATTTGAATGCTAGCCTTTTGATGTGATTTTTGGAGGTAGACGACAAACAAAAATTTCAAAGACTTGAAGAGAGGATTGAAAGAGTCAGAAATTCAGAGCTCCATTAAGATCTAGGTCATCATTGGTCCCGAACTACACGGTAGCACATACACCCACAAGTAACATTACTGAGTTTCCCCTTTTACAGGGAGAAAATGACTTGCACATTTTTCTCTCTCTTTGAACATGCTGTTGCCACAGGCGCTGTTTCGGTTTCCTGCAACTACCAAAAACGGGCCATTTTTCAAATATGGACAAAGCTAACATGCCTTTTAGGTGGCACTCACCAACAGCTATGGACAGCTGACACTTTTGTGGGTGAGAAAACACACACCACACAGCTGCTCGGACCCCTTTGCCATTCATTCTTGTAATTCTGACTTAGAAAAATACATCTGAAATTTGGTTCTGTTTCTCAGTGGCTGAGTTTCAACAGTTTCAACATATAGTATGAGGGGCACACACATGCTCATGCACCACCTGTAGGAAAGACCACACAATGTGAGTTATATATTCAGCAGGGAATCCTACAGCACTTCATCCCAGAACTGCCTCCTTAGGAATATTGCTCTGCCTTCCTCAGCCACAGCCTGCTTTTTCTTCCCTTGCTGTCCCCATCTAGTTTTCTGGTTTTACACTGGATTTCTGAAGGCAACTTTTCAAGCCCTAGGACTTTCAAGGGAACGTGAGCTGTCAAACTGAAATTTGGCTACTTGACAGAGTGTGAAGAGTCTCCCATCAAAATCTGAAGCTATTCGAATGGCTTTTCTTGACCACCAGTGGAAACATATTTTATCTCTGCATATCACACAGCCCTGAACTCACACCTCTCTGAGGGCAGTTCAGCTTCAACTGTTTAAAATAGCTCCTTTGTGACTCATAACTTACAGAGGTCAGAATTAACTGCAGGCTTCAGGAGAGCTCTGCACTGCAGCATGTGTCCGACACTACACTCTGTGTTTCCAAAGCACGACAGAGGTTTCTGCAAGTTGCAGGATAAAGCTCTTTATGGTTTGTGGTGGAGGCATGAAGGACTTTCCACAAAGAAGAAAGAACACATGTACAGTTACGACAGAGGTTTCTGCAAGTTGCAGGATAAAGCTCTTTATGGTTTGTGGTGGAGGCATGAAGGACTTTCCACAAGAAGAAAGAATACATGTACATTCTGCAGATCTGAAAGCCACAAGAACAATCTTTCCATGAACTTTTGCACACCCCCAAAACATTCCAGTGAGGCTGCCTACGTGTGTGTGCATGTGTGTGTACACGCATGTTATGGGAAGAGGAAAAGGAGAAAAGATAGCGGGCACTGAGTTGCAGAAAGAATGTATTAAGTCCAGTTTATTTCTAGAAGCTGTTGTTTTGGCTTGTCCTCATGTCCCTCATGGGAATGACATAGGAGGAGATCAAAGCATAGGATGAATCTCTGTTCCTAGAGGCTGCCTGTATCATGGGCTTCATGCCAGAATTTCAACAAGGACTCTGCAGCAGCTGCCCCAAGTCCTGAAATCAACTCCCTGGCTACACTTAACGCTTTATCAGTTTTCCACCCAGGCCATTTTTGCTCACAAATACCCCTGCCTGGTCCAGAGGAGGGCCTAAGGGTTTGGGTAGTGAGAAAGCAGTTGTATTCCAGATTAAAGCCTCAGATTTAAAAATGAAATGTGTTCCAGCTCCTGGTGGCTGCAGGGAAACCTAGAAGCTGTGTGCAAGAGAACCAGAAAGCAGGAAAGGCAGCACCTGAGATGTGAAAAGGTGGTGTCAGCCTCCTCTCCAACTCCTCTGGCCCCGGGCTAGTCTGGTCCCATGGCTCAGGTTTCAGGAATTTTTGGCCCAAGGGTTCCACAGGAGCTGGGACTGCCTTAAGAGCTTTTTTCCTGTGCTATACTGTGTCCTGAGCAAAGTGGGGCTGTAGCCCTGGAGTTACTCTCACTGCTGTACATCCACTGGCACCAAGCAAAGTCTCTGACACCAAGGTGTTTCTTGTTATTAAAATCAAAAGAAAATTCGTCTATTCTACTTCCGCAGTGTTATGTGTCTCTGGAGTATATTTCCATTTTGATGACATTTCACTCATCTACCATGAAAATGAAGTGGTGCCCCTGTGTGGCCTGTCACCGTATTTTGCACCCTGTTCTTTTAGGAGGGATCCCAAAGCAACGACGTAGGAACATCCCACTAAAGTGCAGCAATATCTAGTGCAGGATGATGGCAATTAACTAACCCCACGTGCAGCATTAGATGCCTGGGAGCCATGGACAGAGGCCAGCAACAGCCTCAGCTCCAGGCTGTGGCGACTGTAGGCTGCTGTACGACCATCGCTGCTATTCCACCACCCTGACAGTCCCAGGAGCTGGGACTGGCTTAAGAGCTTTTTTCCTGTGCTATACTGTGTCCTGAGCAAAGTGGGGCTGTAGCCCTGGAGTTACTCTCACTGCTGTACATCCACTGGCACCAAGCAAAGTCTCTGACACCAAGGTGTTTCTTGTTATTAAAATCAAAAGAAAATTCGTCTATTCTACTTCCGCAGTGTTATGTGTCTCTGGAGTATATTTCCATTTTGATGACATTTCACTCATCTACCATGAAAATGAAGTGGTGCCCCTGTGTGGCCTGTCACCGTATTTTGCACCCTGTTCTTTTAGGAGGAATCTCAAAGAAATGGCATAGGAACATCCCCACTAAAGTGCAGCAATATCTAGTGCAGGATGATGGGGATTGACTAACCCCATGTGCAGCATTAGACGCCTGGGAGCCTTGGACAGAGGCCACCAACAGCCTCAGCTCCAGGCTGTGGCAACTGTAGGCTGCTGTATGACCATCACTGCTATTCCACCACCCTGATGGATCTCCTTGGACTGGGGGAGAGCCCCCAGGCCCAGCCTGCCTCAGTCCCTCCTTTCAGGGAGTTATAGAGAGTGAGGAGGTCTCCCCTCAGCCTCCTCTTCTCCAGGCTGAACACCCCCAGCTCCCTCAGCCTCTCCTCATAAGACTTATTCTCCAGACCCCTCACCATCTTTGTTGCCCTTCTCTGGACCCGCTCCAGCACCTCAATGTCTTTTTTATGGTAGGGGGCCCAAGGGGGAGAGCCCCCAGGCCCAGTCTGCCTCAGCTCACAGAAGATGGTTGCCAACCAGTGGAGTTGCACCGGAGCCACCAGTATAGGCTGGCTACAGCCTGAAGTGCTCACAGCCATCAGGGGCAGAGGAACGGTGGAAAGGGTGGTGGGGTGTTGAAGATGGTTGCCAACCAGTGGAGTTGCACCAGAGCCACCAGTATAGGCTGGCTACAGCCCAAGGTGCTGGCAGCCATCGGGGCAGAGGATCAGTGGAAAGGGTGGTGGGGTGTCCTCAGACAGACCCTCCCCAGCAGCTGCCGTGCTGCAAAACCAAAGGACCAGCCCTCAAACTGCTGGGACTCAGCAAGTAGCAATACTAAAGCACGCCGTGGCCGAGTGGGAAGGTGGATGTAAGAACAAACCAGCGGGGTTGCACGGCCTCGCACCCACATCAAAAGTCCTTTCTTGAACAAACATCTCTCTCTGAGGTGCTGAGTTTCAGGCTCAGAACTGTTTGAAATGCTTTGAGACCCCTTTGGAGAGCTGGGCTTACCCCAAACATCTCCCCTGACTCCCCCCAGATCCTAGCCGCAGGCTCTCTGTTCACGATTTGTTATTGACCATTCAATGGTTTTTAGCAGCTTCTCAAAGACTAAAAACTTCCGCCCTGGTCTTGCACCCAGGAGAAAGGAAATAACACATTTAGTATAAAAATACTTTTTGTTTAAACAGAGAACAGAAATTTCTTCCAGAGCTGGGGGAGGGGAAAATGACAAAGAGGTAATTGTATTTCTTTATTAACCATAGAAACTGAACTGCTTTCCTGAGTCATTAGTTACAGTTCCCCATTAGGTGAGACATTATATCACATTGACCCCTCCACAAAACTGACACAGTCTCACCTTATCTTCATTTCTTCTAGAAATAGCTCAACCACAATATTTCAGAGGTAACTAACAGCACTAGGTTTGAGGAGATGGAGAACTTAAAGAAATTGTATTTCTCATGTTTTGGATCTTGGATGCAATCACAAGATTTGTGTAAACATGATCCTGGTACCACTAAAAGAAACTGAGTAAGTTTTTCTTTTAACAGAGCACAAGCAGAAGAGAGATATGGGAAAGAGCTGATTCAAATTGCCCGAAAAGCAGGAGGACAAACAGAAATCAAGTAAGGAATTATTTTGTTATTAGTGCAAATGAAAATATTTTGGAAGCAATATCAGACTCCCGTGTTTTGTCTATGAATGGGGGCATAAGCTGCTCACTTCAGTATTACACAGCACATCACAATGTACAGGAGAAAAGGGGGAAACACCATAGTCCTTCAAAGCAGGATTCATAAAAAAATATCTCTGTTTGGGGATTGACAGTAGGTCTTTGCTGAGAAATGTTTTAATTTCAGGATTCCTAATGATGTTTAACATTGCTTTTGGAAGCCAATATTAACATTCCAAATGTTTAGGATGGTGGCTGGGCAATTCTGGCAAGCTGGTGGATGCGGAGAGATTGGGACAGAACATGTACAACGTGCAAAGACACCAAAAATGCAGCAGGAAAAAGGCTTAGCTTAGGAATGCAAACTTTAAACCTCTCTGCAGGGACTTAATTTGGAACAAATCAATGGAAGTACCGAAATACACTAAAATGACATATTTTTCTCTGTCTCCTCTGCTACTGTCTTAGATCACGTATAAATTGTGTTGGGAGGGGAAGAAATATGTTGGCATGGAATTTAACTTAATAAACACTGCTGATAAACTGCTGCTATTATTGATGGTAGCAGCAATAATGAGACATTTTGTCATTATTGTAACAAGTAATAATACAGTAATAAGGTGGCAGAGGATGAAGATTTGGGGTCACAGAAGACAAGTCTGAAAGTGAAGACCTCAATCTAAACACAAAACAGCTCTATTGATCCCTGGGGCCCCCTACCCTCATCCATCCCATATCTCATTTCTTAATTGCAGTCTCCTTTTTACGTCAATTTATCATTCTCAGCATGAGCGTGGTTTCCTGCTCGTATTTTATGGGAAAACTTGACCTTCAAACCCTTGTGCCACCACGGCACGCAAGTGCCAGGCAATCACCCGTAGCACGCGCTATCAATTTGGTGGTGGCACATCCAGGGTGACAGGGAAACTTGCATTAACCCAAGGGGAGAGCACCGAGGCTCACTCCAGAGATCATGCAATCTTCTCCTCCCCCTACTGGTCCATCTCCCTCTTGCCCCCAAGCAATGCAAACCTAGCCAGGTTCCCAGCAAAGGCTGCTGGAGATGGCTTCTGCCTTCCTGCTGTCTCAATTTACAGACTTAATCAGAGAAAAAGGGAAGGAGAAGAAAAAACATTTTGAAATTAAAATAGCGGATTAAGGATGGATGGCTTCCTCCCAAACCAAAGGCTAAGATCAGTGTTCCAGGATTAACAAAAGGCTCCACCTAAATTTCTTTACTGGCAAGGCAGGCAGGCAGAGCAAACGTGTTCAGAAACAAGACAGTTTTGGCTGCTCTTCTGCGACTTAGTGGATAATTCATGGGTCTGTCTTTTCCTAAGAGATTATAAGAGCTTGATTTAGAGGCAGAGCCGAGTCCCAGAGTTGGGATATGGATCCAAGTGCCCCTCAAGTTGGGGGAAGTTTGGACTCGGGCCCAGCTCCACTTTGATCCAGCAATTTTATAGCTTGGCATAGAGAGAAGGCTGAATATACCAACAAAGCATGAGGCAGAGCTGATTTACTACATTTCCATAAAGCCACGCCAGGTCTGGGTAGCGACCAGCTTTGCTCTGATATTTTTATCAGAGCAAATGTCTGACTGTATCTGTTCCGAAGCAGAGAGAGGACACTTTGCTTTCTGTCACTCAGCATCCTCCAGTTGTTTCAGGAGTTACACAGATGGGCGGCGAAGGGCATTTGTCCAGAGTAAACACTTTAAAAATCAGAGAAAGCTAGGGTCTAATTCAGGGCTGGAACAACTCATGAAAATGAAATATTTGGTCTTAACGCCTTAAAATGTTTGACATGGTGTGAAGTTCCTGTTTGTTTATATGACGTTGGTTGCTGACAGCAGTTCTGCTCCCAAGGTCAGTCCTTCAGGGAGGCCAGAGGGAGGGAGGGAACCTATGTACCTATAATAAGAACCTATATATAAGAAAAGCTTGGAAGGACTATGCTACACCTCTCCCCGTGCATCACTCCAACTGCTTCCTCTGCATAGGACTCCCTATTATTGACAAGCACACTGAGTTCTAACAGTATTAAAAATACTTGACAGGCTGAACTGTACTGTTCACAGCTTTGAACACAGCTTTGGGCAGCAGTATTTCTCAAATAAATTCTAACAAAGGTGTTGTGCAGGCATTTGTACCTAAAACTTGCATTTGATACTCACCAGGAAAAAAGGAGCTTCCAGGGTTGCTTTTTTTTTTGCAGAACATTTTACAGAACTTCCTGTGCCATGCTATGTAGTGCAAAGGAGTGGGAATTACTAATTTTAGATCACTCGCTCATTTTCTTGCTAATGCAAAATTATTACCCTCTAGTCTTAAATTCAGTCATCTTTTAAACATCTCAGCTACTAAGGCTTTCTGTCACTTCTCCTGGGAAATTATTTCACACCCCAGTAGTTCTCAATATCAGGAAGATACGTGATACCCTTTCAAAAAAATCGATAAAAAGAACATAGAAAATCTGTCCGCAGCAACCACCCAAAAGCTTCTAGTATCAGAAAATACCCAGGCCAATTAATTCTGGTTAGCACAACTTCTGAGCCTAACAAATTGGCTGCAAAAACCTCCCACGGCTCCCCCAGGTCAAAGCCATGCTCTGCAGCTGCTGTGGAAAGCAGAGCAGGAGAGAAGCAGCACAAAGCCCGTGCTTGGAGAGAAGAGGGTCTGCTCAAAGGAGAAACCAGGCAGTGGTGGGGAGATACTGCCCGGGTTGTTACTTCAGCACAGTCAGGACCAGCACAAAACAAGGTGAAGAGAATAAGCACGATGAGTAGATAGAAACAACAAGGAGAAGGCTGGAGAAGTCTATGGCACGCTGCACCAGGTAGTGGCCATTGCTGGAGAAAACAGCTCTCTCCCAAGCTTTCAAAAAAAAAGCAGCTTATTTCAAAAGCTTTTCGTTTTGAAACAAAGAACAATTTCAACTTTTTTCAGGCTCTTCCCTCCTCCCCCCAAAATTTTCTTCAGCTGGAGCAAATTGCTGAACTCAGCTAAATGTATAAATAGGTTCAATGGCACATTTTTATTTGACCAAGACACAGATGAAGAAATACACTGCTGGCTCAAAAGAAAGATAGTAGGGAAGGCTCTGCTGAAATGTAACAGCAACGCTGGGACCACTTCCCATAGATCTGGGAAAAATCTAGGTGCCAGCAGCCATCAGGTTCCCAGTCCCATATGCTGCCCAGTGCTTGTTCCCTCGGCATGGTGACAGCTCCTCTGATGGAGAACCAACCCCTCAGGGCCTGGCACGGCTCGTGCTTGGCAGAGACAACTACAAGCCAAGAGTCTACCAGGACACTTCACGACTGAGTAGCAGCAGTAATAAAACATTGTGACCTGGGAGAAGAGGGCAGAGTTGTGTCTCTGCCTGCAGAGTCCTTAGCACCAGAAATGTCAGAAATCACTTTGACCTGAGAGCTAGTAGGAGACAAGATTTTAGTGCTGCTACAGGAGGTGCCGCTGAGTTCAGTGAGGTCCTTGCTGTTCTTTTTCAAACCAGTATTGGAAATGGCCATGGCAAGCCTACTGCTGTAGAAAAATTTCTAATAAAACTAAAATCAGAGAGGCAGTCATGCCATAATGAAGGAGTCATGCTGGAACCACTTTTTAATTTTTACTTTTTTTTTAAAAAAAAAAAAAAGCAAAGCCACAGTTTCTAAAAGAAGCTGGTGCTGGTTACCATGGCCATAGCAAACAAACACTCCAGCTTCCAGTTCAAGAAATAAAAGTTTCCTGTAAGTGCTGCCTAACGGCCAAAGCACACAATCACCCAGCAGTCCAGCCTGATTCAAGCAAATTCAGGCGTCCTGGCTGCTTGCCCTCGCCTCGAGCCCTGCAGCTGGTAGAAACTACTTCCTATAGGGAAGGGAGACATCCTCTTTCCAGCCCATGGCACAGATCTAGCTCAGCAGTTGCTATAGGTCTTGGCGAGTTCATGCTAATGTACAGAAGGATGCACACACTTGCATGTAAGTGTAAGACTGCAAGAAGAGTCACAGAGACTCAGATGAAAATCCCTTCAGCCTAATACTCTGTCCCCAGCACTAGAACCTGAGGGAAGAGCAGAAGAACAGGGTGAACATATGAGGATATTTCTCCTAAATAATCCTCTAGCCTTAGCCATGGGTAGTTCAGGGGCTGCCACACCAGCAGCACCTTTGTATGTAATAGACCCCCTTGGAGTTTTCCTGTGTCTTTTTCTTATTTGAAACCCCAAAATATTTTAGCATCCACTGAGCCTTACGGTAAAGCAAGGTACTTCCCTGTTAAGTGCAGAAATGCCTTCCTCTTTGTAGATTTTTAGCCCACCTCACCACACTTGCCATGTCACATCAGACACATGTGACAGAGGCAGATTAGCTTCCTTACAGTGGGGTTCCTCAACACACATCCGTGCTGGTGAGCTGCAGTCCCACTGCCTGTTCTGGTTCTTAAAAACACACCCAAATCCATAACAACACCAAAACTACAGAAAAAACGAGCTGCTTCTTTTAGGCTAATTACCTGGATGTGCCAGCACAGTCATGGATGCAGGCTATGCCTGGGAGCACAGGTACCTGGGGAGTCTTAGTGAAACCAATGGGAGGAGAACAGGTATTGGAAAGGACCATGGGAGAAAATCAGTTCCAAATGCACCTCTTGAGCAGGTCAGACCCAGGAGAGGGTGAGGCGTGAGGACCACAGCAGTCAGGATGGCAGGATGGGTGCTGTATGGAAATGGAGCTCCAGTGCTCACCTACCAGAAGTCAGGGCTAAAATGATTTTTTAAAATGTCTTCACTTTTATATTCATTTTAAAGCTCTGCAACAACAATTTTAATGAAAAAAAAAGAAAAATCTGAATCACAATTTCATAGCCTCTAATCATAAAAGAAACACAGCCATGTGTTCTTGGCAAATGCCAGGTTATATCAATATCCAGTGGGGGAGAGTTTCAA